GGGACTACAGGCATGCGCCACCATGCCCGGCTAATTTTTTCTATATGTTTTTAGTTGTCCAGATAATTTCTTTCTATTTTTTTTAGTAGAGACGGGGGTCTCGCTCTTGCTCAGGCTGGTCTCGAACTCCCGAGCTCAAACGATCCGCCCGCCTCAGCCTCCCAGAGTGCTAGGACTACAGGCGTGAGCCACCGCGCCCGGCATACTCAGGGAGCTTTGTAAAAAAACAAATTAAGATTTTAGGCCAAACCAAATAATCTGGAGGCCTACAAACTAAATTTAGCTCATAAATACATTTTGTTTGATAGGAATAGTGTTAAAAAAAACCCCAAACCTTGAATTTGAATGCCTTTAGATGGGATATTCCAGTTTGTAACAGGCCTTACGGTTCTCGCATGCCCCACCACTTACTTCCTGCCCCCATCATTTATTTTTGTTTTATGATTTTCTAGCATCTTTTAGGTCCCCTTTATTCATTTATGTTTACTGTTACTGCTTCCCAAGATATTCACATTTAAAGTTCTTTCCTTAGACTTGCTGAATGAGAATCTCTGGAGTTGTGCTTCAGTAATCTTTGTTTGGAAACCTCCTTAAATGAATCTGATGATAGTCAGGTAGTGGTTGACAAAGACAGGTCTTACATGGTGGCTATGTATCTTGGTTTAGCAACTTAACCTCTGTGCTTTTCCGTTTTCTATTCCATAAAATCAATACTTAAATAGTAGAACCCACCTCATATGGTAGTGGTGGAGGTTAAATGAGATACCACGTAAAAAAGCACATGTGTTTGGTACATGGTAGATATTCAGATAAACGTTTTTCCCTTTCCATTTTCGTTTGAGAGTAGGATCTTGAGAGCTCCATTTCTCTAAGTAGGTTCAAAGGATATTCCACGTCAACCAATGAATCATCAATAATTAGGACACTATTTTTGACTGGTTTAACAAGTCCAAATAACCAGTGGCTTAAACAAGGAAAAAGCTGAATTCACTATAATATGAAATTTCTGGCTAATTGGATACTCAGAGGAATTTGGTTCCAGGGATTAGTTTCCTTCTTTCTTGTTGCTTTACTTTCCCTTAGTCTGTTGCACTTTCCCACATAAAGAC